CTAATCAAGGAGAGAAGCAATTAAGGAAAAACTTCCTAACAGTGAGGACAATTAACCAGTGGAACGGCTTGCCTTCAGACATTGTGGGTGCTTCATCACTGGGTTTTTTAAAGAAAATACTGGACAGCCACCTATCTAAAATGGTATAGGGTCTCCTGCTTGAGCAGGGGGTTGGACTAGAAAACCTCCAAGGTCCCTTCTAGCTCTATTCTGATTGAAAAGGTTGAATTTTGTGTATGTATGTGTGTGTATATATATGTGTGTGTGTGTGTGTGTGTGTGTGTTTTATTTGTGCTGATAAATAAATAAAGGGAGACTAGTATAGATCTATTTCAAGCTATATATATATAAAGCTCGCCAGATGTGTATGGATACCAGAACGGTAAGAGAAGCAGAAGGGTAGGGAGTCTCCCATAAATCTTTTCTTGCTTGATTCCTGTGACCGGGAATTCCGGTCTTCTCAAAGAGTCCGGACTCCCACCAGCGTCAGAGATGCTCCACCATCTTCCATCACGTGACTCCTCGGAGAAGCGCCTTAGCCCCCCTCCCCCCCGTCGGATGAACTAAATGGGGCCGATGAAAAGAGCAGGCTCGCTAGAACGGCTGGCAGGGGCTGGCAGGGGCGGCGCTGAGCGGGCAAAGAGGCGGAGCTGCCGGCGCGCCCAAGCAGGCCTGATCCCGCAACTCGTCTGGCCATCAGTCGGTCTCCCGCCTTAGCTCCGCTGTGCTGCCCGCGATGGCGCGCAGGGGTCGCCCTTACTGGTGGCCGAGAAGCCGCTCGGCGTGAGGCCGGGCCGGGCTGGGCTGGGGCCGGGGGAATCGCCGCGCCGTCCCCTGAGCCGCCCGGCCCGGGCGCCGAGAGACAGCCGGCATCAAGAGCGTACAGCATCGGCCAGGAACGAGCAGGCGGTGAGCGGGACCGAACGGGGCCAGGGAAGAAGCCGAGTCCCCCTCGCTGTTTGAAGGGGGATAGGGAAAATCCAGGGGAGAAGAGGGGAAACCCCGGCGGGGGGAGGAGGAGGAGGAGTGGGGAGGAAACCTTGCCCTTTTCTTTCTGGTCCGGCACCCTTCTTTTGTTGTCGCCGAGACGGGGGATTGGGTGTGTTCCTTCTATCATGTCTGTCTCTCCGGGAGGGGGGGACTAGCATCGAACGGTGGCATGGATTCCTCTTTGCCATTCTGGAGCGCATCACTCAGGCTGGCACTTCATCCATGCCCGGGCGATGTTTTAGTAGGCTCTCTTGTGATCCTCAGTTGACTGAAGCGGCCGCTGTGTAAGGACTTAGGGTTTTTATTTATTTATGCGTAGGTGTTTTGTAGGGAGTAGATGGGTGCAAGTTCTTGCAAGGTAGATGGGAGAAACCGGACTACCTACCTCTGCCCAGAAGTATGTTTACAGGCAGACAACGTGTGGGCGCTTGGGAAAGAGTGTAAAAAGGTGTGCTTGTTTCTGGAAGTGCGTATCTCTAGGATGCTCAGAGTTGAGCCCCTCCCCCAACTAGCCTCGTTTCTTTCCCCCCCTTCCCCCAAGATGGCTTCTGCACAAGCCCCCAAGTTGATTTTTGTAATCAAGGATGGCTGGAGTTGTGTCTGGGCTGTCCCTGGATGGGCTTTGGTACTCGAAAGTCGAACATTTTTCCTTCCCTCTTTCTCCTTTCTGGCAGGATTCCTTTTGGGGTCTTTTTCCTTATGGGTACCCAATAGTCAGAGGATTCCCAGGTTCTGCCTCTGATTTCCTGGATAAACTAACTAGCCTGTCTTTTTTTAAAAAAAGACAAAAAGCAGAGGCTTTTACTAGTGAAGATAAGAAAGGGGGGAGGAAATCATAAAGCATGGCTCTGTTTACCAGGTTGCCTATTGCATATAGAGTGGTCTTGCTGTTGGAATTTGAATCAATGTACTTTAAGCACTTGGTTGGTAGCAGTTTATCTTTCTCTGTGTTGCCATGTGATTCTGGGTTTCTCTGAAGCCAAATTATTTTGCACCCTTCAAGAGCTCGTGTGGAAAAAAAGCGTTGCTGGACCGGAGCACCAAGTCTGAATAGATTTCCTTAAAGAGTGCTGTGGTCTTAGCCTAGAAAAGCAGGTGTTTGAAAATCAGAAAGCTCGGCACTACTTGTGACTTCTTACATCTTCTTGTATATAATGGCTTATTTTCCTACAAGTATCTGCTTTCAAAAGGTACCATTCCCAACTTGGTAACTAGAAGCATAAATGTCAAGTCAATTTTCAAGGAACATCATTTGACTCATAACCGTTTTTGGCTTTCACAGTTAACCTGAATATTTCTGTATGTCATCTAGTTATTGGAGCTGTTCTTCTGTTGATCACTGTACAGAAGAGAAAGCTGAGTTTCCAGCTAAATTATTCAGAACCCAGGAGCAGCCAAGTAACAGTGCAATTCCATTAGTGGATTGTTAACGATGCAACAACAACAAAAACCCTTCAAAGACAGTCCTGTGTTTTTCACAACTCGCCTTCGCTTCATTTTAATATTGGAACATATAATTACATAATTAATTAGGAAAATAAAAACAGAGGAGGAAACCTCTAGATGCATTTTGATTCACTATTTCAACTAATTTAAAGAGGATTTTCCTCTAATAGTGGAGGTTAAAATGGCCCTGCTTATATAAATAGCTTCCTCAAAGATTTTTGTAAAATTTGCCTTTCTGGATATGTCACTTAGTGGCTGAGACACCAGTGTATTCCTCTAGAAGGGACAAAGTGCAAACTGGCAAACTACTTTTGAGCTTGGAGTTTTCAGTCTGCGTTGTGAGTAAGCATTGGTCCAATAGCTTACAGTAGCTGCTTGGTGATGATGCTGATATGTTCTCAGTGGCCTGCTTCTTCTTAGAGTGCAGCCCTTTGCACACATGAAATTTAAGAGAGTGGTTGAATTGATGGACATTAATATCTAATATTAAAAAGCTGAAAAGGTACAGAAGGTTCTTCTCTCCCCCCATTCTCCATTGCATCAAGATATGGTTGCTTTTTGTTCTTGGACAGTTCTTTGTTGAGTGAAATATACTGGTGGGTAAGACAGTTGACTGGTTATTGATGCTTCACCGCTCCTTGAAGTTGATACTCTCCCATTCTTCCTTGGGTGTGTTTCATTAAGGCTGGATCTGAAAGAAATCTGACTCTGGAAGTGATGTTAGGAAGGTGCTTGTGATATCAAAGGAATAAGATACATTTCTGTCAGTCCTTTAATTATAATCATAATCATGTAAACGGCCATTATTTTTAGTTATGAATGTGAACTCTGGAACCTTTTTTAAGGCTCACAGAAATCACTGGCAAAAACATTTGTAAAAATGCTAAGAATAAATGAGAAATTAATCTCACTCTTTTTCAGCAGGAAAACAAGTGCTGTCTAATATTACTCAGGAATATTTTTAAAAATACTGAAAATGGGAAGTGGAACGGTAATAATTAAGTATACTGCACAGGAACCTGCTTGATTGATTAATTAAATGCTTTGAAATTAGCCATTTTTGCCTGAAATAACAGTTGATTATTTATTTTGATTATTAATTCATTTATAAGGTACTTCAGCTGTATATAAAAGCCACAGCCACAGTCAATGCAATAGTAACAAGAAGTTCAATTGCAGAAATACAATATAAGGTAAAGGTAATGGTACCCCTTGCACATATGTGCTAGTCGCTCCTGACTCTAGGGGGCAGTGCTCATCTCCGTTTCAAAGCTGAAGAGCCAGTGCTGTGCGAAGACGTCTCTGTGGTCATGTGGCTGGCATGATTACATGTTGAAGGAACATGGAACGCTGTTACCTTCCCACCAAAGGTGGATCCTATTTTTCTACTTCCATGTTTTACATAGGTTCGAATTGCTAGGTTGGCAGAAGGTGGGACTAGTAATGGGAGCTCACTCCATTACGCATCCCTAGAGATTTGTACCTCCGAACTGCTGACCTTTCTGATCAACAAGCTCAGTGTCTTAGCCACTGAGCCACCACATCCCATAAGAAATACAATATATGATTATATTAAAATATTTAATATAATATTTCTGGCACCAGAAGCTCTATGGGACTCAAATCCCAAAGGCCTGCCAGAACAGCCAGATTTTTACAAGCTTCTGGAAAGCCAAGATTGTGAGAGCTACCTTATTCCAGATAAGGAAACCCCTCACAAAGAATCCCTGCCTTCAGTTTCCTCCATTTGCATCACTTAACACTGTGTTCCTTCCGTAGTCATTTATGGTGGCTTCAGTTTGGGTAGACAAAAACGTATACAAGATAGTGGTCTTGAAGATATTTAGGCCAAGGATGAATATGTATGAATATGTAACTGGATATATTATACATACTGATGATATCTTATCCTGAATTGGGAAGTGACCTTTCCCAGCTGTTTTATATACATGTTCAACAAGCTGAGGGAGCGGATCAAGCCTTGAGTAGCACCCAGGAACCTAACTTCCCCCACTTCTCCAATATTGGCCAACTGAAACCTGCTCAGGAAGGATGGAACCATTTTAGGATAATGCCTTGGTGATGTTCTTCTACAAATGCAGTAAATTTGGAGAAATAATTCCTTCTTGATCTCATGCCCATGTCCAATCTTATTTGCTTCTCATCTTCTACAAGTTTCACTCTAGAACTTTCTTCATCCACTTCTTTTTCTAGAGCTTCTTAGAAAACCAACGAGAAGCCACTGAGGAGTAATACTGTTTAGAGGGGGGTGTCAGACTCAAAGGTGCTTAGATCTGGCCCGCGGGGCTGCCCTGGAAACAGTGAAGGACCGGTGGTGCCTCTGCCAAGGAAAATGGAGCTGAGGAGGGCTGCGGGTGGCCCTCCTGAGCTCTGCCTTTGCTGGCAGAGGGTTTCAGGAGGCCATTGCAGCTGCAAATGGAGCTCAGGAGCCCGTTTTCGCTGGCAGAGCACTTGGGCTACTACAGGTGCCCCCGACATGAGTGATGTCGAGCTGGTCACATACCCTTGCACCCCGCAGGTCAAACACAACCCTGATGCGGCCCTCAATGAAATCAAGTTTGACATCCCCCAGTTTAGAGCAAGTCTGTTTCTGTGTTTCAAAGGCCATATGGGCATTCAGTAGAAAATCCCTTTTCTCAGATTGCTTGGAAATTGCTCCATTGTATTGCAAGCTTAAATATTCCACCTTGGGCAATGGAGAGCCTTTCTTCAATTGCACAGCCTCTTTTATAGCCTGCATGGTTGACCATCCTATCTGGCACAATTCTACCAGCCACTCATACTTTCTGAAGATGAATAGATCTGCAAAGATTTGAAGAGGATTTTCAGATGAATAAGAGGACCTCTCTGTAGTCCTTCCACTTCTACCTGGAAAGCAGCCTTCTCATACCAGCTTTCCCCCCCACCCTTTGTAAGCCAATCCAAGCATCCTCAAATAATGACAAGATTTTCTGTTACTTTAAAAAAAACCACAGCACACTGGATAAACAATATGAGAAGTCAAGGAGAGGAAATGTAGATATTTTATAATAACCATTTTTATGATTATTTTTATTACAAATGCATGTATGCTGCTTCGATCATATTATATGTGTCTTACAGCCTAACATACCAGACAAAATATATCTAAACTATTAGACATATCAATAATAATAATGCTGTCAATTTAGATTCAATGTGGTAATAATAATATATAACCTGACACTAAACAGCAAGGGTCATCTCAACTCAGGCATATCTCTCAGACTCACCTTCGTTCTAAATGCATATTTTAAAAGCCCCATTTTGAAAAGTTTTCTGAATGCTAAGAGTGAGGCTGATGTTCTTGTATTTGGTGGGAGGATATTATTATTATCATGAATTAATTATGATGGTCCTTCATCAGGGTGAGCTCCACATCACAGCTGCTGCAGTGCTGTCTCTTGGTCCCTTCCTGCTTCTTTCCCAGCCAGCCTTGGCACATTGTTGACAGGATTCCCCAACAGCTGGGCTTTCTTCTCACCTCCATTCCTGGAGTTCAGGGGGTGGAAAATATTCTGTTCTGAATCTAATCAATTTCTCCACTCCGTCTTTCTCTTCTTCGTTTTATCTCTCCCTTTTCTCCCGTCAGTCCATTAACTGCTGTGCGTTGCTTTTCCTTTCTTGTCCTATGGGATGCTGACTTAGCCTTTTAATTGCACTCCTTTATTCCTTTCTACACTTGATTGTCTTTTTCCTGTTAGAAGTTAGCTTCCAACCACTTTTGAGAATCTTATTCCCTTTGAAGGTGAATATCCTGGTGCTAATGAGACCTCAACCATATGGTCCTCCTGCTCAGTTGTAGGAGATGTTTTCTGCTCTTATTCCCACAGAATAAAGTCAAAAAGAGGGAAAGGGGTGTTATAGGGCTTTTAACACTGGAGGCTGAGCATTTGTTTGGCACACAGGCAGCCATTTGGTTTAATTTAACTGTATGCTTAGCTTGAAATTAGAGGCTGTTTTATTTTGCCTTAAGTGGTTTCAAATCAGTATCAGTGGGGTTATACTTTAAAATTCCATTCTTTGTATTGTAAATTTACATCGCTGTAAATCCAGTGAAACTTTACTAGAATTTTGTTATTAAATGCACTTGAGCGTTATGGAGACTTCTTTCTTAATCTCAGAATAAGCAGATCTACTTCGTGCCTCCTACTATAATCAGAAGACAAAGAGGAACAAAGAAGTGCATTATTTAGAGAGTGATACTTGACTCACATTGCAGGTCATAATCCTGAAGCAAACCTCCTTCCCATTATTTACTCATTTTTAAATTAGATTTGTACATAAAAACTCCATCAAATAAATGAATAAGAATTGAAAAATGAGCAACGGTAACAACCAATACAATATGCATAGAAGCATCCAAGTCATCGCTGAAAAATGGAGCCTGTATCTTATGTTCCTTCTCTGCTTTTTTACTATTATCTTGCAAACTAAACGAAAGACAAAAGAAAATGTAATAAGACATGAGAGATAATTTTATCTAGGGGTTAAAGCACCAAGTTAGAAAGCAGGAGACGATGAGTTCTAGTCCTTAGACATGAAATTCAGCTGGGTGACAGACTACAAATATACTCTGTGTGTGGGTGTGTATGTGTGTGGGTGTATTTCAGGCATGTTCAATTGTGCCTCCATTTTCGCTTATCCTTTTCTTTCTCTCTCTCTCTGTAAAAAATGAAAGACTTGCAGCTCAGGACATTGAAATCTAGGCAATGGGAATGGAACAGCTCCTTTTTAATCAGACTCCTCTTGCAAATTATTTCCTTCCAAATCCAAATGCTATAGATACATTTTTTGTTGTCGAAGGATAGAGATATGGTTGGCTGCTCTGGGTTGTCTTCTATGCATTTTTGTGTGATTCAGACCTTTGAAAGCGCAACAGGCTCTTTGATAGACCACAAAAAGAAAAGGGCTAGGAGGGCTTATTATGGGAGCTATGAAGTGGTAGGAAATGAATGCAACTTATATCTCAATTGTTACTGGAGATGCGTGTAAATTCTACTTCCTGAGAGGTCCATATTTCTGTATTTCCTTAGGGGATTCTTAAGCTTGTCCTTTTCGGTGTTCAAAATAGCCTTCTCCTTTCATGTATGCTATTACGGAGAGAACAATTGAGATACAAATTGTGATAAGTGGGAAACTACCTTTCTACCTTTTACTAATGACTCCTTGGATAGGTGTTCTAGCTAAAAGCCAATCTTACAGCCTTTTATTTTTGCATTTTCAGCTGGGCTTGCTTCTGCCCAACTGCCTATATCAGTGATGGCTAACCTTTTTGTTGTTGGGTGCCAAAAACGCGAGCGCACGTGTGTGTGCTGGCACCCATAATGCAAAGTGCCCCCCCACTTACGAATGCATGCACAACCCCCACACACACGCTCCCATACACACACGCCTCATGGCTCGCCTCCAAGCTGAGCTTGGTATTTCCTTCGATTGGTTGGGGGAGGCCATTTTCCACTTCCCCAGACTCCAGGAAAGTCTCTGGAGCCTGGGGAGGGTGAAAACAGTCTCTCCCGACCCCACAGAGGCCCTCTGGCAGCCAGAAATGAATCGTTTCCGAACTTCTGATAGGTCCATTGGGCCTGTTTTTCACCCTCCCCAGGCTTTCCTGAAGGCCAAAAATCAAGTGGCTGGTGCATGCATGCGCGCTGGAGCTGACGGCTTGTATGCCTTAGGTTTGCCATCACAGATCTATATTGTCTATAGACGGAGATGTCCAGTAAATTGGAAGAGCTTATCTGGGTAGGTTGGAACCAAGATGCATAGCATAAGCATGCCTAGTCATTCTGCAAGACACGAGTGGTCTACTAGCTTTTGAGATAAAAAAACACATTCATAATGGTTGGATGAGAGACAGTGTCTTCTTAATTTTATCCAACATAAAAGAAAAGAAGTTTTATGTGGTTGGTGGGAAAGGTATCCTTCCTCACTTCTTTTTCTCTTCCCCAACAGGCTTGGTGTTTGGACCTGAGCTGCCGATGCTGTGCTCTCCTGATGCTGAACAGCCTGTGTCCAGAAGATGAGCAGATTGTTGGTGGGAGTGACCCTCGAGAGGATTTGCAAAGCTGTACTTCTCCTATGTTTACTGCACTTCCTTATCATCATGATTCTCTATTTTGATGTCTACGCCCAGCGCTTGGACTTTTTCAGCCGCTTCAACGTACGAAACTCTTCCCGCTCTCTGCCCTATGCCAACGTCTCTCGGCCTAATGGTACTGCTGGGCCTCTGGGTGCTGAGCTCCTGGCTCCAAGTGTCAAGCCTGTTGGGGCCAACAACACCGTCACTGAGAAGCCCTTACCTCCCTGTCCAGAGATGCCACCTGGTCTTGGTGAGATTATAAATGAACCCTGCCTGGTTTGTATCTTGTCTTGAATGAAAGCCTGCTGTGAGGATCCAGCACTACAGGGTTGAGCATATCATTGTTCTGCTTACCCTGTTTTTCTTGAATCTTGGCATCCCTTCTTGCTGAAAGGTGATATTTGACTTCAGAGGCAGGAAGGGAACCATAAAATAGAATCTGCACAGTGTTGCAAATGGAATTGGATAAATAATGCAATCCTGTCATTAGGATGCAATGAAAAACATGTGAGTTAAACCAAGAAGTGGTCACATAATGAATTTATTTTTACCTTGGACACCCTTTTGTTCCCCATTTTAGCACAACTCTAAATTCTTGCCTGCCTATATTTTCTGGCTGTCCCCTTTCCATAAAATTTTATTCGCATTAATCTTTGCCAAAGTATATTAAAAATGTACAAGGTGGTGGTAAAACTGAATTAATTTCTTCAGAGTTGTCTTTTAGATGTTTTTTTTCTCTTGGATGTAATCTTTCTCATTGCAGGGTTTGTGATATACTCCCCATCCTTCTAGGAACTCGAAGCAGACAGCAAGTACAGAGTTATCTCAGTGGGGCTTATCTTCCAAGTACTTGCCATATTTTCAAATAGGACTCAAAGCCATCCTAATAAGTCAAACTAATAAAATTCAGTAGACTGACTGTAACTTTGATGATAAAACTGAGGAGTTTTCTAGTGCCTGCTATAAGGATCTCTGTGTACGGATTGAAAATAATTGTTGTTGTTAGTTGTGAAGTCATGTCTGATCCATTGCGATCCCTGGACAACGTTCCTCCAGGCCTTCCTGTCCTCTACCATCCTCTGGAGTCCATTTATTGCTTCAGTGACTCCTACTGCTTCGGTGACTCCATCCAGCCACCTCATTCTCTGTCGGCCCCTTCTTCTTCTGCCCTCAATCTTTTCCAGAATTAGGCTCTTCTCCAGTGAGTCCTTCCTTCTCATTAGGTGGCCAAAGTATTTGAGTTTCCTCTTCAGGATCTGGCCTTCTAAAAAGCAGTCAGGGTTGATCTCCTCCAGGACTAACCTCATGTTGTGGTGGTTTCTCTCTCAGTTGTTCTCTGCCCATCCTCCTTCTTGACTCTTCCAACAGTTA